CAGTGGTGCAAGGTTGGATTATAAAACAACATCTCAGGCTTTGACTATCCCACAGAGAACGGTTCAGCCTATCGCTAAATAAACTTACAGGTAAGGCAAAGACAGCATTATTCATAGAAGCAGCCAAGAGCTCAGAAGGAAGAGTGTATTGACAGTTCAATTCCACACACCTGGCCTTGATGGAAGAGTTGCGAAAAAGCGAGTCCTGGTAAAAAATAAAAAAAAAGGGGGAGAGGGAAAAAAAAGCATAAGAAGTCTTGTTTCTTGTTTGCCACAAGCAATATTCATTAAACGTGTAAAAAGCCGCTCTGGTCAGATCAGACCACATGCTTTGTGTGGTGGAAAGGGACTGTGCACATCAAATAAAGTATTTTTGAATTTAAATATGATCTGAAGAGGAATGGATGAAAATACAGGGCAATCCTAGCAAAGGTTGCAAAAGTCTTCAAACTGATTTAACTTACAGCCTCCTGCGGCGCAGAGATGGAACGCTGCTCTAGATGCAAATCACTTCAACAGATGACAGCATTACAGTGACAAGACGATATCTCAGCAAACAACATATGGAAATAAGAAGATGACTAAATTGTCTTATTTAGCTTATCCACCCCCAACAAAATTGAAAATCTGCTCTCACTCAGATTTGAAAGTCATGTCTGGAGGCTGTTCTAACAGAAGGTTTAGTAGCTTGAACAGCTGACTTGCTCTGTGGAAAGTGCCAGGAGTCGAGTTCTGCAGTGTGCCATGCTCACCTTTGGCCAGATGTGGATGAACTTTAGAAAAACTGGATGCATGTACACAGATTACACCTTGAAGGTTTTAAAAGTCCTTTCTTCTTCCAACAGGCAGGTAGGGGACAGATCACGTGAATTATGAAAAGTTGTCTAACAGATAAATGTGAGACAACTGTCATCTGTCCTGCTCCTGACGCAATGAATTCTGGGGAATGCTGTCCCATTAGTTTGCTTGAGTGGAGCGGAGTCCAACAAAAGCTTATTAATTTATGTTAAAAAGGTCCAGTCAAAGTCCAGAGCTAAATTCAATTAAGAATTTGTGTCAGGATTTAAATATTGGTTCACAGATGTTTCCGTCTTAATCAGTAACGGCCAACTGAAGTCCATCAAAACATGCTGCTCTGCATAAATAAGATGGAATGTTTAAAACTTGCAGGACTCTGAAGGGCTGGGTTTGGGCAACACTCATATCATCAGGTTGAGCTTAATTTATTTTGTAAAAAAAAATATGTGGTAAAAATTTTATCTAGATGTAGAAAACTATTAGAGATCCCCAATAGACTTGCCTCTACAACTGGAAGGTTCTGCAAATTAGTGATTCAGGGGAGTTGAAAAGAAAAAAACTATATTTTTATCTTCTTTTTTTCTTTCTTCTTTGATTTTTACTTGTAAAACATTTTTTCCACTTCACACAGCAGGGATGGAGGATTCGACAGGTTTCAACCTGTTTTTTCCCGGTCTTGATTTCTGTTTTGAATCGATAGGTCTCAGTCTTGGTCTCAAATGTGTCGAGGTCCGCTCGAGACTATAGTTTTTGTCAAAATTGCAAAAAAAAAAAACTAGCTCTGTTATCTTCACCCGCAGACACACAACAGGATGAATGTGAATTAAAAAGCAACATTAAGTGATCAGCTGCATCCCGACATCTCAGAAACAACACAACAATACAATAAAGACACACAAAATCGTGTTGCGAATGTTTATAACAACATTGGTTTAAAATGATGTATCTGTGTTCACATGTGGTGCGGTCTGGCTTTTGCTGAGCAAACACAGAAAATTATTCAACATGGTTTTCAAAAACACGAGTTTTAAGAGAAGGAAAAGAAGAAAACACTCAAACAGTAAGTTTTGTCCACCGCCAGGATTGACGATATGCGAAGTGAGCGGGGCGACAAATAGTTTTACTCGACTACAAAGGAAGGGTAAGTAGCAACGCAAAAACATGAACAACACCCAGTTTCAACTCTAAACATCTAAATAATAACAATAAAACGTAAGTGCTGAACCGTAAAAACACACAGCGACGCAAGTGCAACAATATCTTAGCCACCCGTGCAACCTTTTAAGTTAAACTGCAGTCAGCATAGTTGCTCTGTGTTTAAAACTCTCAGAATAATCAGCTGATGTAGAGGAAAAGCAAGGCTCCTTTCATCAAGCCAAAAACACAAATTCAGTCCTACCTTCTACGTTTTATCGTCATAATCTGTGCTAGAGAAAATATTCCCTCTTGACTCCTGTAATCTGCTGTCCCTGCGTCATTTCTAACCTAATTTTTGTAAATCCGATGGATTCCATTGGAATTCCCCCTGACAGGCAATTTGCAAACCGTCATGGACTAATAAAACTAAAATGCCTAGTAACTTATTGATATGTTATGTGTTTTTTTAAAAAAATAAATATTAAGCTGTTTAACATCTAATAACTCTGATTAATTGCTTTTATTCAGGATCAGATGATAATATGAAAACATTTTCTTTTTGAAGATGACAATTTTTTTTATTAGCCTGATGTCACTGTTCTTTTTTTTATTATTATTGTGAAATGTTAGCTGATTAATTCAGCTTAAGGAACGTGTATCAGTGTGTGGCTGCTTTTAACAACTTAAATATTAGCTCATCATGACCATCATTAGTTTAATACTAAGAATTAGTTTTGGTTGAGTAATTAAATGTTTTTCCATAAATTTTTGCCTTTTGTGGTGTACAAAATGTAATGTTCTTAAGTATTTGTCAAAGTTAAACATTCGGCTCCAGCCTCAGTTTGGTCTCAACTCCATACCTGTTTCACAGTCATGCGCTGTTATGAGTCGGACTGAGACAAACGGCAAAAGCTTTTTGATGACAATGATGCGCGAGTTCAAGAGTTATGAACACTTATGCAAGACACAGCACCTTCCAAAGAGCGAACATGATCTAAGATTCTTCATGACGGTGCAAAGTGTAGACATGACCTCGGTCCTCTGCAGATGAATTGTTGTCTTCTTACAGATGAGGACACCATCTGAGCCTGCGGGGCTTTGGCAGGCCGAAGACATCAGATGTGTACAATGTGTTCCTCACCAGTTCCGCCAAATACAGACAAGCAAAGTGACTCAAAGATTTATGAATAAAGTCATCCGATAACCACGAAGAGCCAGAAAAAGCTCCAACATGAAGTAAATTATAGGGAACAGAGGCATCAACCTCTGATCTGTCTTGGAAAAGGGAGTTCAGATGCTTGACAACACCTTTCCCAAGAGGCTTGTCAAACCTGTTGGGAAAGATCGGTCCATATTTGACCCAGCGCTGGGTTACGAATTGGGTTACTTTTAACCCTGCAGTTTTTACTGTGTAAAAGCAGCAGCAGTATAACAACTGAAACAGAGTATCTGTTACAATAAGCATAACATCTTTATTTCTGTTGTCTCCCAAGCATGCGTGGCGTGGCATCGAGAGGTGATGGAGCTTTGATTTTCTGAATTGAATCGTCTTGCTTTTCTCTCGTCCTGCTGTGCATGACCTTCTTGGTGCGAAGTGAAGCACAGCGTGGCGGTTAGCAGGAAGATGTGGGCAGATTGAAGTCCACATGCACAAATTAGCCTCCCTCTGTCACGGCTTCTTTTCTCTACAGGGTTAAACACGCCGGAGCCTCTCGGCGAGTGTGCTTTGCCGTAAATCTTGCAGGGAATATGCGAGAGTCTTGCTAAACAGTACCGGGCAGTAACCTCTTCAAAGAATTGTGAGTTTATGTCTGTGTGTCTGTGTGTGTGGGCTGGGTACTGCTGCAGGGAGAAGAAGACGGCGATGTTGCCTCTGTGGTGACACGGGTCAAAGTGGCATGATGGGGCAGGACAAGACAGCGTAAAATGGGTTCAGGGCCGCTGGCAGCACAGCAGATTAAACTAACTACTCAGCTCTCCATCTGACAAACCAGCAATATGTGGCGCTTTGGCTTGGGTTGTCCCTAGCGATGTAAGATGTTGTAAGAGTAAATGAGTAAAAGCGGGGCTTGATTTATTTATTGCTTAAAAACAGGATTCAAATTTGCTTTTCAAAGCCAAGAACCCAACACACTATATTAGCTGTCTTTGTCCAGAGTTCACTGGGAGTGATGTCAAAAACTTTACCTCCACTTTGGCTCATAAACCCAAATTTTAATAGTTTGCTTCAGAAATTTAGTGAGATCATTGCAGTAGGCTGAATGCTAATCTGATTGATCAGTTTTAAAATTATTTGTTCATGTATGTTTGGAATTATTTAATATCCATTTAATCGAAAATAAAATATTTTTGACTTGATTGAATCGTTGTACGGTTTGGACACTCATTTGTTTGTCAGTTTTAATTTATTTGATCGAAACTGTCACAATACGATGAAAGAAAATGACTTAGGATTTTCAAGAACCGCCAAATTTATCTTAACCAAGAAGTTTCTGGAACTCAAGCGTCACTGTCCGCTGCAGAATAAAATGTATATCTGAGACTTGGAGCCTGCTGAAAAAGAAAGTTACAGCGTATAGTCGGATAAGACAAAGACTGAGCTGATTGACTTAAAGAAAAAAGATAACTTTTGTTGGGAGACGCCAAATTGAGACTTTCAAAATCAACAGCACTGTGCCAGCTGCCTAGCAAGGCAGAGGATGGGATTTACCATTTTTAGCAGAGCTTAAAGGTGCTGATTTTTGACCATTTCCTTCCTATCTAAAAGTGGCATTTGAGGTCAATCGGTTAAAATGAAAACTCAGTTGGGTTTTCCAACAAGAGAACCTTGAGGTAGACATTATTAATGCATAAAGTTAGATAACAATAAGCTTCTGGAAGGAACCATACCTCAATCCCACAGAAAATGCATGAACTATGCTTAATAGCTGGTGTCTCCCAGAAAGCCAACTGATTCAAACATTTCTGATAAGAAGAGAGGACAGACAGAATTGAGCCCATTTTACAAAGGTGAAAATATGTTTGAATATGATAAAAAAAAACAGGTCAAATAAATGTAATGATGATATAAAATGTATTTTTATGATGAGTGTAGAGACAAATTGGCAGTAACAGACTGACACTAACCATAGTAATAGGCACTCAAAGCTGTAAAGAGCATAAAGTTACATTCCTCCCGTAGTTTCACCAAAGTGACTTCATCAAATCTCCTACAATCAGCTTTCATGTTCACCACCCACCAAACGTCACGCAGGTTCTGCTCTGCGGTCAAAACAAAAAAAAGCAGGTTGGGGCTTTCACTCAGACCATTCACAGGGTGAGCAACCTCACAATTACAACAGTCCCTGAAGGCAGCATCTGATCCAAGCGCTCAGGGAGAAAGAAAAAAAAAACTGAGTAGAGGAGAGAGACTATTTAGCCTTGTACCTCTGGCCTGGTAAGATAAAGCCTCTCTGAGGGTTGTTTTATCAACTTCAAAAAGACTGAGCAGCGTTTTTTTTTTTTTTAGTCTTGCTTTTTTTTCTTTCTTTTTTTTTATGTGTGTGTGTTAATATTCTATTTCTAATTTTCATCCCGTAGTGAGCGCTGGCCCGGTGTCACGCATGGCTCCCCGGGCGGTCTGGCTCCTGGTCGCGCTGTCCGCCGTCCTGAAGCTGCGCTCCTGCTGGGCTTATACCTGTCCGGCCATCTGCCGCTGCAGCGCCGACACGTTTCAGTGCAGCAGAGACACTCAGCTGGCCTCCAGGACCGCAGCAACATCTGCGCTGCGACTGTAAGTAACCCAGCTGTCTCTGGCTTTCCACAGGTACAAGACACAGAGAGGACTCTTCCCTTTCAGCTTATGCCATCCTATAAACTTTTTACTCTCCGCTGCGTTCAGACCCTCTTAAACTTAACTTTTTTATTATTATTATTATTTTACTGTCACTGTAAAGTTGGTCTTAGCACCGTTTTATATGATAAATGTAGAGTAATCCGGAGAGAGAACTTAAAGAGACATTTTTGCTGCCTATTTTCCATTTTATTTTTTATATGTCGCAGTATATCTGTGGATTTAACTGCTTTCCTCATGAATCTTACAGAAGGCTCACCCAGCTGCCCTTGAAACAAGTTCCCACTCATGCCTTCAAGGAGCTGATCAACATTACCATAATGTAAGTGGCTTTCTCCTTTGCATATAAAAGGAAATTTAAAGTGGTGGATTTATATTAAATTCAATTAGGGGGTTTAGAGAGACTCATTTTCTTTTAAACATAACTGTATGCATAAGAAAATAAAAACGTTTTAATCAGTGTAATTATTCATCTCGCACAGTAATGCTAGTAAATGCATGTTGCCAGACTGGCACAGTGACCTTATCTGAAAATGTATTTAACGTTCAGAGTAATAGTGAATGAAATTTATGGAAATATAAAGCCTACCAACATGAAAAGACATCAACACTGGCCCTTTTCTGTGTGGGACGCCAGTATTTAATATCTTTCTGGCAATGTAAGGCATTTTGAGAGCAATTATTTATTTTATAAGGCAACACAATATGCTTCTAATTCTTTAAATTCACTCTGTTTTCCTGCTTATTGGTGATAAACTCAGTTTTTCTAATGTTGAACAATTTTAATATTTGTGCTAAATCTTTGTGAGTACTCACTCGTGTTGCGTGATCTCAAGAAAATATTTAATTGCTACTAATGCTAAACTTTGTGATATTAATATAAGTTGGAATAAACATTTTCTTACCGTTTCGTTAACATTAACAATAACTAAAAGTGTTGCCATCGGTTTTAGTATCTTAGCCACTAAACGTGTTCAACAGATGTAAACATTGCAGACAGTTAAAGTCCATCCAGCTGGACAGATTTGATATCAGTTGCAGTTCAGTATAAATATCAGCAAATTATGAGGAGACTGACATTTTCATAACATATTTACCAAGTAAACTTATCAATATGCCCTCTAAGTGTTGTGGAAATAAGAAACAATAAAGGATAAAGAGACACAGAATGCTAATCAGACGCTTCAATACATTCATGAATCACATGATTTTAAGCTACTAATGATTTATTTGATCTTTTTAATTTCCAGTCTGAATTGATAGTAGAACACATTACTTCAATGAGCTTTCCGGGGAAAAAAAAAGTGCAAACTTTGAATTTGTTATGACTTTCGATAATCAGTACATGGTGAATATTAAAGATCCAGGTTCCAGTACTCATACACGCCCACTTCTTCTTCGTTCTTGGTCAGCCGGACACTTTCTGCAGCTATCAACAAGCTTCTGGACTGGATATCAGACAAAATCCATCAAGTGTGACAAAAACAGGTCTTCAAAGTTCTCAAGCACAGGCATTAAGTATAGTGCGTAAACATTCCAGAAACTTTAAGTTGGTTTTCTTGTTTAATTTACTTCAAAACCAGTTTTAATTTTAGATGGTTGTTAAAACATCCAACCAGCCATCTGAGCCAAACAAATGAAATAAAATTGGTTAGGATGTCCAGGAAAATCCAGGAGCCAACAAATTTCCGTCAATCATGAAGTTATTGAAACACCAGTCTGTGTTATCAGGGATCTAATGTTCATAACCTTCACAACTTTTGAAAACGCACCAACCAAACCAAGCCAAACGCAAGACCCGTTTATTTTAAAAGGTTTTTGATGTTTGACTTTTAGTATTTTTATATTTTCTTTACTTTTTTTTTACATAGTTGTATATTTTTTTAGACTTTACTTTGCACTACTTCCTTTTTATTGCGTTTCGTATTTGTTCTTACTTTGAAAAACAAAACAAGGCATCACTGTAAGGCGTTATATATAAAGTTTGCTATGATTTGATTTACTACACCCTGGTGTGAGGGGATCTAAACACAGGATAAGCCCCCTGTCCTAAACTCGACACATTCATTACAGCTGCAAAGAGATATATCTTCTGCAGAAAAACATTCACAGTCAGATGAGCTAATGATGTAGATATCTGACCCAATTATCAGAGATCTTGTGATTGCAGAAGCCAGTGGTAATGGTGCATCACGCAAAATAGGTGGAATAATTAAACCAGCTCTAAATTTATCTCCTCCTCCCAACCACAACAAATAGTTGGTTGAACCTTGGGCAAAGCTGCTTATTTTAACAGAAAACGGACCAGAAATCCATCTTTGATAATGGCCTTACCTCCACCCTGTTAAAAATTTGTTGACTATGGTTAACAGCTAAGCCTATGCGGGTCAAAAATCCTTTTAAACAGATTCCAAACTTTGAATTTGATTCTTGTTTTAAGAAATTGTGACCATGTGTTAGTTACATTAGATAGATCGTACATTGTCGTCTGATCCAACTGACTTATTCATCAGCCTGACAGGAATATAATCGTCCTGGTCATGATGAATGGATGTAAACTTTTAAAAAAAGCACTCGGGTTCAAATTAGGAGCATCTGTTGTGGATCATGTGTTCCAAGGATCTGAATCAGATTTAAAGTTAAAACATAAAATTGAAAACTGTCTTAGTTGTAATAAACTCAAAATACATTCACAGTGTTTTGAGTCATTCTTCTCCCTGGACTCTCATCACTTTACACATTTCCTTTTGATTCTGAAACAACACGCAGTTCCCATCGTTGTAGGATGATGAAATATGAGTTAAGCGTTGCTTCAGCTCCTCTTCTTGTCAACATTTTGCTAACAAGCATGTTTCTTTAAAAGCGATTGCTTGCGGTTGTTAAATCTCACTGAAATTGATCTGTATTTGCAGACACATCAGTGTTGGACCACTGGCCATTAATTGTTGACAGAAACTTTCCTAAGCAAGACTTTTATGGCGATGTTAGAGAAGATTAGGACCACCAACTGACTCCTGAACAGTGCATCATTCATGTACTACCGCCCGACTGTCAAGTTCAAACATCTCAACTCTCTTACACATAGAGCAGCCCAGAGAAAGAAAAAAAAATCCTCCCTTTATATGGAAGGGGTGACTTTAACGGAGCCCGTGGGTTGTAAAATCCCCTGGAGCTCAGCGGTGGATGTCTCAGCAGCATAATTATCCTCGGCACAGCAGCAAATCCGCCAAGAAATGACTTAAAAGAACAAACCCAAGTGTTATGTTATCACTTTGTCATATTAATCACACAGAAGTGCTGTAGGGGAGCACGATCAAATCAGGTGAGAAAACCCTGAAATGTAGTGGAACTAAGGAAACGGTGCACAGAAAGAGGGGGCAAGTTAGAAACCGGTGGTTACTTATGCAAAATGCCCACCTGAACTCAACTCTGAGAGGAGACACCTGGGCTCTAATCATCCATGTTTCCCCCCCCTTTTTTTTTTTTTTTTATCATCAAAATTTTTTGCATGTGACTTTTTCATACTGTGCTGAGCATGTTTGACTTTGCTCTCTGTTCCTCAGGGACACGCCTTATCAGTCTCAGATACTTACTGTACTTTAAGTCTGATCTACTAAATGGAGCCCAAATTTAGTCAGTTTTAAAATAAAAAAAAGAGTTCCTGACTGTCCAAGTAGCTTTAAACCTAAATGAAACGGCAGCTTTACTGCTGCAATCCTTCATTTCCTCCTCGCCATTAAGTCTGCAATGGTAGAATGACACGACTGTGTGCTTTTGTCACCGGTGATGCATGCTCGAAATCACAGCAGCACTTCATTTAGGCGATCATGTGAGGAGGCTTTTTATGACCTCTAAGCAGTAATTATGACACTATATGTGAAGCAATTAAGAGACGGGATGAAGGGAACGAGGATCCGCGGTACAGATGGAGTACTTTAATTGTTTTTCGGTTGAAGATGGAAGGACGTCGACGTTAGACGTGCAAAAGGTATCGGCTGATTACGGCTGAGCGACAGTCGAAAATGATGATTGCAGGCAGGAGATGGAGAACGTTTTACGAAGTCAGCCATCAGGCAACAAAGTAATCAAGGACGAATACAAAAAAAAAAAAAGAAGGTCTTGGTAACTTTGTCTCCGTGTCTTTGTTTAGTCCTACTTTTTCCAACATCTTCACCTATTCTTGTTGACCCAAAAGCATCAGTGATGTATGTTTGGAGCTTTTCCACACATGAGTTCCTGGCATGTGAGCGCTAGTGGCCTAGAAAACGTGAATTGGTGGTGGGATTTTGTTTTTGGGAATTTCCCTGATGGTTTGCAATGGTGTATCAATCATCCCCGTCCTATTTTTACTGTGAATGCATTAAAAGTTAAGCATTCTAAATCAAACCTAACACAAAAGAAAAACACAAGAAAGATGTTTAATTTACCAGCTTCATGTGAGATAATTCCAGTGTATGCTCTTAACTAATGACTGAAGGAGACTGATTCTTTTTGTTGTTGTTGTTGTTGCTGCTGTTTTGCAGAGAGATCTCCCAGAGTGACTGCATCACACACATTCAGAAGCACGCCTTTTTCTCCCTCCACAGTCTGGCGCAGATGTAGGCTAAGCAGCATTTTTACCTTCTACCAAATACTCCCCCCCCTCCCCTCCCATCCACTCCCTGCATATCAGTTTCAAACATGATTGGAGAAATATTCATTTGCATGTCATTTAAGTTTCATTGGATTATTCTGTCAGTTACAAGGCAGTGTGTTTAATCATTGAGTTTCAGTGCAGCCGATACATAAATATTTTGTGCCAATGCGAACGCTTTTCCATGTCAGACATACCAATTACTGATTTGTTTCCCCAATTATTGTTTCTGCAGCTCAGTGCAGAATATCAACAGTCTGAGGGTCATTGAAAGGGGAGCCTTCACGGATCTGCCCAGGCTGGAGTATTTGTAAGTCGCTTTGGTTTTTTGTTCCTTATGCATTTAGACGTGACAATAAGTTTTGGGATTCTGAGGTTTTAACTGCGGAAACACAAAATTTCCCAAGTATTTTTTTTGTCTAGTTTGTCATGCAAATATTTTAGTGTGCTTAAAATAAGACGAAACAAACTTAAAAAGTAAGTTTGCAGCAAGATATATTACTTACCTACTTAAATAATTCTTGATTATGTACAAAAAAAAGTCAGTTTTACTTACATTTTAAAAAAATAAATACTTGCAAGTGGAACTAGTACTTTTTTAAATCTATATTTCTGAATTATTTACTTAAAATAAGCTGACATACATCTTGCTGAAAAGTTCCTTTTAAGTTTGTTTTGTCTCAGTTCAAATGATAGATATTTGCACTATAGTGTAGCCGAAAACACTCTAAGATTTTGAATTTTTGGCATGTTAAAGCTTCCAAAAAGAGACTTGGAATAAATGTCACATTTATCTCACATTTACAAATGATCCCCAGAGGATGAACCCAATTATATTAGAATTTTGTGGCCCTAAAAATGTGCCCCACCACCCCCCACCCTGTGAACTTAATAGGTTTTTCTGATGTAAACAAATTAGATCTTAAAAAAACAGAAAATAGAATATTTTCCACCTTTAATGTGACATTTATTCTGCTCTATTTAACTGAAAAACCCTTGTGGAGAAAATTATTTAAAAGTTAAAATAAAATAAAAATCCAGACGCTCCAGTAGCCTGATTATATAAATAACATTTATGAGATTCAATTTTCTCAATAATTCTTGAACCTAACTTTAGGTCCTTCTGGTCTGGTACTGTCTGACATTTTCCTCCTTTTGCTAAATACATAGTTTGCAGAAAGTTACAAGAGAAGCTTTGCATCATTTTTATACGTCTTCTTATCTATTCATGTATCCGCCACTTGTCAATGCAGGAGCATCTCAAACACAGGCCTAACACACTTCCCAGACTTGACAACCATATCCACCCTGGCATCAGATATCATCCTGTGAGTATTTTCATTTCAAATCGGGGCTCCTCTGCCCCAGCTTAACGTACATTTGCAAGTCATAAAAATGCCGCTTTCCTTAGGTCACATTTTTGGACGAGAGCCGTTTCCTCTGAGCTCAGTTTTACTTTTATTCTGTCAATGTCACACTGCTATCAACCCTGACTCGTACTCTGTCTCACTGTGACACAGTTCAAACATCCCTTATTTGTATAAATATGCATAATTTAGTCTAACCAGAGAATGGAGCCAAGCAGCCTAAATGAGCGTTATCTCCTGCGCCTGCAGAGAAATGGCAGACAACATGAGGATCGACATCATCCCTGCCAATTCCTTCCAGGGCATCACAAAGGAGTACGTCGACATGTGAGTGCAGGGGCCTTATTCTCTTTGTTGCTTCATTATCTGAGCTAAAAGCAGCAATTTGTCACTATTTGTTTGGTTGATGCATGTTTGCATATTTAAATGTCCGGCTCGCTGACCTTGGCAGTATGTGCCACTGGCAGCGAAGTAGAATTAATAACGGTGTGTCCTCAACAGGAACCTGGTTAGGAATGGCTTCAAGGAGATAAAATCTCACGCGTTCAACGGGACCAAGCTCAAAAGTCTGTAAGCAGTTCGGATCATTTAGAAAATTTGCCTCATGCCAATGCAATATGCTGCAGCAAAGCACAGCTAAGTGCAAAGGATTTCCTACTCCAATCATAAATTACTAATCGTACCAGTAAACAACCCTTATGTAAGACTAAACAAAGATTGGACGCCTCGTTGTTTTCTTGCCTTGTTCCATAATGCTGAACCTCTATGAAGACGAGATCCATGCAGACACCCTGCAGTCTAAAAATAAGACCCATCCTCCTCAGTGCCGGCTCCAGAGAAGGAGATGAATAATACACTGGGGGCAGCGTTGGTCATTATCATGTCATCTCAAGTTTCCGTTCAAATTGTGTGTGAAGCAGAAAACTGCAGCTCGGGTTTGAGGTTACTTCTTTGTGTTTTGCAGAATATTGAGGGACAACAGGAACCTCCATCACATTCAGGAAGATGCTTTTGAAGGAGCCACAGGTCCAAGCTATCTGTAAGTGTTCTTGTAATTTATATATTTTCACCAGTATGTGGTATTAAGGGATGTTTCAACAGATTTTTTGCACAAATGCGTTCATCTACACAAAAAGGGTTTTCTGAACGTTTTATAAATTTGGTCACGATCACAGAAGCATATATCTGCCGAGTGCATCTGATGCACCATTTTCAGCTGAGAAAGGGATCACAACATTCATTACGAACTTTTAATTACGAAGGGCATAAAGATGAAATTCATTAGATTCATATTGCTTTTCTTACACTATAGCTAGATAAGCACAGTTCTCCAGACTTGTATACACCCCTGGTAAAGATCCAAGATCACTGAAATTAAATTAATCTTCAGTTTGCAACTCTAAATCTCACATTCCAGAAATTTTAAAAATTATTCCCCAATTTGATACGATTTATTTAGTAGAGAGAACTGGTCCAACTTTGAGTTAAATATTCACCTTATTTCTCTTTATTATTTCAGAATTTCTAAACATCTTTGCCTCTGTTGGTTTATTTTAATAAGTTTAAATTGAGAAGCAAAAAGAGAAGCAAAGAAGAATCCTGATGTTACATTTCTTTGCACAGAAATATATTAGTGAACTTCCCTTGCTGATAGACTGGCTTTGCAAAACTCCTGCTGAGCTCAAATTGAAAATGAAAAACACCCAGAGAGATCAAGGTTAATCCAAAGATAGGCGGCAGCATTTTGTTGTAATGAAATCCAGTCATTGTCACCCCCCCCCCCCCCCCCCCTTCATTGGTGTTCTGTGTTTCAGGGATGTTTCGTTCACGGCTCTAAGTTCCTTGCCGAGTAAAGGCCTGAGTCAAGTGCTATCCCTGAAAGCCACGTCTGCGTTCGCCCTGAAGAGCCTCCCGCCGTTGGACGGCCTCGCCGAGCTGCTGGAGGCCGAGCTCACTTACCCAAGCCACTGCTGCGCTTTCCACACGTGGCGCAGGAAGCAAAGGTAAGCGACAAATCCATCTACATCTGCATAAGAGAACCAGGCCGCGTCTCCTGAATACAGATCAGTCGGCCGGTAATTAGCGGTCAGGTTTATTGACGATTCTTGCAAATTAAAGTTTTCTGCTCTTTTTTTTTTTCCTCCTTTCCTTCAAGGGAAAGGGCCTCAAGGAACTTTACAAAGTTGTGTGATCTCAGCGACGCAGAAATGTAAGTTACAACCCAGCTCAACGTTAGAAATCATCCTCTCCGCCATCTTTAAGTCTACAAGTGTGTGATTTAATCTTGCCGTACAGACAGTTGTTTTATGAAAGCCTGAGCTTTTCTCCTCGAGTTGGTCTATCACACCGTTTCAATCAAATTTTATTTGTATAGCACATTTCAGCAGCAAGGCATTTCAAAGTGCTTTACATAATTAAAATAAAAACATTGAATAAACAGTGAGAAAGAGAAATTAAAGATAAAGAGATTTAAAAAAAATAAATAAATACCAATAGCTACTGAAGTTTCAAAGTAAAAAAGTTTAATGGGCATTATTACTTTTGCAAGTCACCATCTGCCCTTAAAGATGTGTGAACGGACTTTGTCACCTTTTGACAACATCCATGAACAGAGACGGCTCTAATAAAACGCATCAGCTCCACTCTGGTTTTGATTAATGTTTGCATTAACAGAAGGCATTTGTATTTTTTTTATGTTATAATTTTATGAAGAGCTGTAAGTCAGATAACGCATCGTTTCATTATCTGTGGGAAGTGAACTGCTGACAATCAGCATCCATTTTTCTTTCTGTAAGTCAGATTAGATTAGCTCCTTGATGCTTCAGATGATGCATTTCACCAGTGAGGCTCAAACAACCTTTAATCATAACATTGTTTCTCTGTTCTTCAGGGAGCCCACTGATGACGGCATGAATCTCGTCTTTGACATAAGCTTCCAATACCCGGACCTCGAGTTTAGTTGCCATAGCAGCCCGTTCGTGATGTGCACGCCGATGCCGGATGCGTTCAACCCTTGCGAGGACCTGCTGGGCTTCCCCTTCCTGCGCTGCCTCACCTGGCTCATCACGGTCTTCGCCGTGGCCGGTAACCTGGCCGTCTTGGTCGTCCTGCTCGTCAGCCGCCACAAGCTGACCATCTCGACATTCCTCATGTGCAACCTGGCCTTTGCCGACCTGTGCATGGGGCTCTACCTGATGCTGATCGCCTTCATGGACTTCAACTCCCGCCACGAGTACTACAACCACGCCACCAGCTGGCAGACGGGGCCCGGCTGCAGCACGGCCGGGTTCCTGACCGTGTTCGCCAGCGAGCTGTCTGTCTACACGCTGACCGTCATCAGCCTGGAGCGCTGGCACACCATCACCAACGCCATGCACGTCAACAGAAGGCTGAGGCTGCACCACGTGGCGGCCATGATGGCGGCCGGCTGGGGCTTTTCCCTGCTCGTCGCTCTGCTTCCTCTGGTGGGAGTGAGCAGCTACAGCAAGGTGAGCATCTGCCTGCCCATGGACATCGACACGACGGGCTCTCAGGTTTACGTTATGGCCGTCCTCATCCTCAACGTGGTCGCGTTCCTGGTCGTCTGCTTCTGCTACGTATGCATCTATCTCAGCGTGCACAACCCGGAGCACGCCACCCGCCACGGCGACACCAAGATCGCCAAGCGCATGGCCGTGCTCATATTCACAGACTTCATATGCATGGCGCCGATCTCCTTCTTTGCCATCTCGGCCGCGCTGCGCATGCCCCTCATAACCGTGTCCCACTCCAAAATCCTGCTGATTCTCTTTTACCCCATCAACTCCCTCTGCAACCCCTTCCTGTACACCATCTTCACTCGCGCCTTCAGGAGGGACGTGTGCCGGCTGCTGAGCCGCTGCGGCTGCTGCGACGCCAACTCCGATTTCTACAGATCACAGACGGTGGCGTCGCAGCACACCTGCATCAACAAAGTGGCCGACAGGAAACCTCACTCGCTCAGCTTTTATGCCCATCACATTAAGATGAAGGGCTGCTTTCTAAGTAAGGGAGCGACATGACTGTTGGCGTGCGGGCTGGGAACTCGGAGGCAACATCTGCTCACTGAAGATGCCGCGTTTGAGAATTAAGGTGAAGTGGTGGAGAGACTGCTGGCGTCACGCAAATATCTGATAGAATATCGTGTGGTTTATTTCGCAAACAGAAAATGTTCATTTAAACCGAGGGGGTTTGAAAGTAAGGGAGGTGCATCCTCTGTTCTGTACAGATATTGTAAAAAAATAAGCAGTTAGACGGAGAACAAAAAATAAGCTTGTTGAAGAAATGTAAAGCATCTCTGTTTGGTTGTACTCTAAACCATTGATCAATGAGATATTTAAAGTGGATCTAAAAAGTTGACATCCCTGTTAAAATGGTAGCTTTTTGTGAAGTACATAAATTAGTTTTGTTCCCAACGGTCCAGTCAAAGTCCAGAAGCAAAACAGACATCTTGACAGACCAGAAAGCACACACTGAAAATACAAACATTCTTCAAGTAGTATTTCAAGGTCTGCAAACTGAAGCGATTTTTTTTTTTTTTTTTTTACATTTTCCCCTAAAGACTTTTCCCCCCCAGTGGAATTGCACATAATCTTCAAATCCACATTAAAAGTTGGAAACAATTTTAAAAGGATTTCTCATTTCGTTTTTCAAACTCCTAGCATTTTCATGGAGCTGTTCACACTTGAGATCCACCATGAATCTATTAATGATTTCAGAGTTATCCTTATTGAATCAAGACTTTTACATTTGTACATAAAAAAGGCTTGCATATCTTTTTAAATGGTTCTGCTCAAAGTTGAGCTTTAGCGCCACCTTTTGGGTTCAGGAGACATTTTGACAGGAGTGTTTGAAGACTGTAGTAACATCTGAAAGGTAAAACTTTATACTGAAATGTCCATTTTATTGAAATAAAATTGTGGTCATTTACTTTTGGTATTCATCAAATCTCTTCTTGGATCTCCCTTTCCACAGTTTCACACTCAGCTACCAAAAACGGCAACAGGTGGGATTTCTTAGACATTCGGTGGAAAGAAAACCCTTCATTTTATAAGCAAAACATTCAAGCTGTTGCTTGTAGTTTTCGATCACTGCAGAGCTCTTTTCCCCATTTAGCAAGGACGACCTTCATCTTTCACAGAAAGTTCTGTTCTACATTATTCATATTTTAAGCAAATATTCTCTTTACATTAAAAGATTCTATTCAAAGAAAGTTTTGAAACCGTTTACCAAAAACTACCCCATCTGTTATCTTGAGCAGACTTGTAACTCAGCAGAAACCCTAGAAAAAAAAAAGCTGACAATGCAAACTTTTTTTTCTGCTATTTTCTTATGTGCAAATCTGTGTCAAGTTTGGAAGCCAGCAACAGGTCGTCCTTTTCCTCAGTGACATTTTCTAAGGGTTTCTTTGTCTCAAATTCAGATAATTTTGCAGGCCTGAACAGACTTTACTACCAAATTGTGAAGTTGCATGCATATTTCTTACCAATGGTTTGTCTATCTTGTGCCTTGAGCACAGTTTTTAACCACGCTTTCCTTCCACTAAACTTTCCATCAAAGTGATTTTGCAAGGTGCAAGAAGTCAGCTTCTTTAATCAAAAGACCTTTTGCTTGGTGTCAAGTCAGCAGTGATCCACCTGATTTTGTAGCTCATCAGATGTTCTAAAATAATTTCCCAGTTGCTTATAATGCAATCTATTTGTCGAAAAAGATAAATTAGTTTATCAGAAGTAAGGCAAAAACAATTTAAATTTAATTACTTAGTAAGTTTTACTTTTTGAAATTAAATGCCATCGAGATGCTCGGTGAGTAAATTCTCAATGCATTTTTAAAGCAGTTTGATTTCTCCACTGCAATAAGGTATGCAATGTATTCTTTCAGATTAGCAGAGTATCTCCAAGTTGCTGTTTTTTACAAAAGGAGAAAACATGACAAAAGAAACCAAAAAAAGCAGAAGAGAAAGTATTTTAATAAAATTCTCTCAAATAACATAAATCTGTCACATTTCTCTCAGTAAACTGGAGCAAAATAAACTACAGGAAACAAAGTTTCCACTTTCAGCCTTGCTTTGATAAATAATGACATTAACAGTGATTTGAAACAGAAACGGCTTAATGTGCCTCTTAACTGAATTTCCGCACTTCATTTTCATTCATGACTTTCCTTTACGAAACGATCTCTTCACCACTCCGCTTCCCCTACAGCTTTAGAAAACACGTAGTCCCTGCCTCCGTAACTCATCACTCCATCTTTCAGCTGAAACTTCCAGCGGTTTTTACTGCGGTGAATCTGCAACATGAAGAAATATTGCAATGTTTAATGTCCAGCGCTGGACTTTGTTTAGCGTCATCATTCAGAGAGAGAATGGACGTTCTTACTTTGTCATACTGGCAAACGATCACATTGTCGGTGTCAAAAAGATCCGGGATGTCCTGTTCGACAACATCGTCTCCAGAATTAAGAGGATCCTAAACAATCAGGGAAGCTGATTAACAAAAATAAAGCCTACAAAACAGCTGCAGGCCCTTTTTAAATATTTGGGACTCCAGAGAAGAAAATCATGAAAAGCAAAGATTTTTCCCAGGAATACTTATTCAGCTAAAGTCATCGTAAAAGCAAATGATCCACTCAACCAGGAGTTGAGTGGAAACAGAACAGCAGCTGCGCAATTATGGAGAAACAAAAAATAAAAAATTATTAAAAAGCAAACTAAATATCAGGATTCTTTGCGGAGTTTGAAAACAGCAGTAATTAGAATTTAACAGTGAATTTACTTCAACCTTCACAGATACCTTCTTTGTTCAATAGTGATAATATTTATACTTTTAAAAGTTAAACTAGAAAATGAGGGTGAAAGATACTTTAGGAAATGTAAATGCAAAACAGTATATTAAATAGTCACAACAATTTATATAATCAAAAATGCTCACATGATGGTTTATTCAGCCATTGGTATATCCTGTATATACAATTAAATTTAGTCTAAATATATCAGTTATTCAATTTATTTTCTACATAATCTCACTAATTATTAAGAGTTTTCAGGAAATTGAACACAACCGCTGGTGGTCCAGTAACAAAACATGCACATCGTGTTTGTTTTTTTAATCTGCACTGCGTCTTTGAATTTGTTCCCAGACTATTCTGCTAAACGCCACCACTACAGGTCTGTGGTCATTTCATTGGCAACTGCTTTAAGGGACAGAATTGTGGCAAACGCTGCAGTTTCATACCAACTACATGTCTGTTTATAGCCACCAGGGCGGCGCTGCTGTCCTCTCTTTGCTCCATCCTAAGCCTTTGAAAGAGGCAGAACATTTTATCAAAGAATAATAAAAAGTAATAATTCAAATATACTGTTTGACAATTACTTTAGTGATCAAAAGTGGAAATTGAATTATTAATTTACTTAAATGCGCAGCGCTGAGGGACTGCAGGCCTCCCTTTCTTCAGCTATGATCAGTGTTGATGCATCTACGATGAGGAGGAGAAGAGCTTCATGGCTGAAACCACCACTCAGCAGAAAAAGCATGGATGCTGCATAGCTGAGCTGATTTTTGCCAATACTGTTTATACTTTGCTCCTTTGCTGTGATGTGTAACCGTAGCAACAGGATGGCAGATGTTTATTGATCCCAAAGGGAAATAATTTAAAGTATTGAAGAATTTGAATTTACCCTCCCCTACCCAAAAAAAAAAAAATAAAAAACTAAATAAAACAAAAA